AATATTTTCTACCCAGAATCCTTCTTTTTCTAGCAATATATTGGTTAATATTTTCGGTAACCGATGTTCTTGGTATTTGTACAATACTTGATGTATATACTTTAGATTTAGTTTGAGTGTATATAAGTGACAATTTTCGACATTGGTCTCAAGCATAAGAGCGTAGTTAGGTGTAAAACATGGTACTTTGAGGATTTTCTTTAAAAAGTAACGCTGCAACTTATCGACCTCGTCAAAATACGAATATCCCCATACTTGTGCAGCATAAGTTTGTACTGATCTACAAACAGCCTCATAGACATTCCATTTCATTTTCACATTTACATCTTTCTTCCCCAGAAAATCAATCCATGTAGAGTTTATTGCCATCTTTGACTGGCTAGTTCGTTTCTCAATGTGTTTTGAAAATGAAAGTTTCGGGGTAAATTTGACTACTAAGTATTTGTACTCATTTACATTTTTAATTTCATTTCCATTAAACTTCCATTTCTCATTTCTGCCCAGCCTTCCTCCTTTTCTGAATATGAGTATTTCAGACTTGCTCATATTGACTTTCAGATTCCACTTTTCACAATAGCTTTCCAGGTTTGAGATCATTTGTTGTAGCGTTTTTATATCATCTGACAAAATCACAATATCATCTGCATAGAGCAAAAGCCTAATGTTTATATTGTGAATATCAATACCTCCTTCTAGATGTTCGTGTAGATCATTTATATAGAGCGTGAATAACAATGGCGACAGGAGGCAACCTTGTTTCACCCCTGAACTGGTTTCAAAGTAGTCTGACCGTTCTTCACCTGTCCAAACCGCATACTCTGTGTTGTTGTATATACTTTCAATCAGTTTTAGAAATTTGTTCGAAACACCAAGTCCAGCTAGTTTATATATTAAAGATTTTCTGAAGACATTATCGAAAGCGGCTTTAAAGTCCACAAAGAAAGCATATACTTTGTTATTTTCGTTTTGTTTAATATTCACAATTGCTGCCAGGTTATATATATTATCCACCGTCGAATAGCCCTTTCGGAAACCTGCCTGGTATTCGCAAAGCACTTGATGATAGTCTACCCAATCATAGAGTCTCTAATTTAAAATTCCCATCATTATTTTAGCAATACTATTCATAAAAGCAATTCCTCGGTAGTTTGATGGTTCTGACATATCTCCTTTTTTGTGGATTGGGAAAATTATGGTTTTCTTAAAAGCATTATCAATACATCCTTTATTTAAAATTGCATTATATCTCCTGATCAATTGTTTGAGAAAATCATCAGTTGCGTATATAATGTGTTCATATGAAATTCTATCCTCTCCTGGCGCTTTGTTTATTTTCAATTTTCTCAATATACTTTTTAGCTCGCACATGGTTATTTCATTGTCTAGAATTGGATCAGTTATAAAATTTTGAGCATAGCTTATCTCAAGAGCTTGATGCGGGGGATTCAACAGACCTTCAAAGTAATTTTTAAAACTACTTGAGGATATTGACGTACTGATTTGATATCTTTGGTTCCTTATCGTTTTCACTGCTTTCCACCACTGTTTTGAGTCATTAACATTGTTGATTGTATCTAACAGGTATCTGTTGTAACTTTGTTTGTTGGACGTGCAGATAGTTTTGTATTTCTTTGTTGATTCTATGTATTTTTTACTAATCTCAAGTGTGTTGCTTTTCTTATATTTTTTTAGTAAAGAAAACATAATTTTTCGCGCATTATGACATTTAAAATCATACCATGGCTGCTTTGGCGTGAACACTTTTCTGTTCACTTTAGATTTTACTGATGCTCTTATTATGTTTCCAAGCTCGTCTAAGGTAACTTCATTTTTCCTACTCAGAGTTTTATTCAGATTCTCTTGGATACATTCTTGGTATCTGTTTATATTATGTTTATCCCATAAGAGCTTAGGCAACAGGTTAAGATTCTTGACGTTAGTGTTTTCTGTAGTATATTTAAGTTTGAGTTTTATTGGTAAATGCTCTGACCATGTTTGATTCTCTACTACAAATTCCTCCGCAAGGCTTAAAATTTCCTGGGATACTGCGCATATATCATTTACGGATTCTCCTGTACCACTTATGTATGTAAGATGGCCATCTTCGTCTCCACGAGTTCTGCCATTTAGAATGAAAAGGTTATAGTTGGTGCATAATTCTATTAGGAGGTTCCCTTTTCTATTTGTAAGTTTGTCCCGAGATTTTCGTGTGGCCATACCTGCAGCAAATTCCACTCAAATCTTGTGTCAATTCACCAATCCTTGGATTAAGGTCTCCGATTAGTATTGCATATAATATATCATTTTCTTCGAGAAGTTTACGGATCTTTTTGTAGTCGTTGTCCCATTGAGCGGGCCTCCAGTATTGAGAAATAGTGGAATTGTTTGGAGTGAAACTGATAGCAATTGGTATTATCATACTGTATGACTCTATGCGTTATGCCCAATTTTGTAGTTCTTTCGTTGACTGCAAATATGATGCCACCAATTGCTCGGCCATATATGTGCTCTTTTGTTGCTGCAACGTTATACAATTGAAATCCAGGGAAATATTTTTTTATGTTTTCAAATTTATTTTCAATCAAATGGGTTTCAGTGAGTATAATTATATCATTATTATGTAAATAATCGAAAAAGGATGGGTATAAATATTTGTTTTCAATCCCATTTACATTATATGATAAAATAGAAAGGTTTTGAAAAAATAAGTTTGGGATTGTATTTAGTTTTTTGACTCTGTATTTAGTTTTTTGATCGTAGTTAGTGTCCACAGATTTAATAATGTCACCATAAAGTTTGTGTAGTTCATCTTTACCATCGTTCTTTTCGGCAATGAGCTTCTGATCTTTATTCCAACTAAACCATGTATTGTTTATCCTAATGCTGTCTTCTTTAACTGTGATTCTATGTTCCTTACTTATGGCCAATATTTTCGACTTGAGACAAAGAGAAGCTTTTTTAAATTGTTGCTTTGATGGGATTAGATCTCGTTCTATGTAAATGTTGGAACCAGCTAGCTTCCTGCTGTTACGCATAATTTCTTCCGATTCATGGCTTGTTTCGAATTCAGCCACTACACTCATTTTTCCATTTCTTTCATAAATTTTTCGAACAGATCTTGCCCTCATTCTCAGTTCTAGTTTGTTTGTTAATAAATTATTTACTTCTTTTGTTGGCTCATTTGTACAATTTAGGCCACGGATGAAAATGTTGCTGCTTTTTATATGTTCCTGCATCCACATTATATCTTTTTTATTTTCTTCACATTCTCTTCGTACTTGCTGTAGTTCCACCTTTAGCTGTTGATTTTCCGACCTTAGAAGGTTTAACTCCGAGCCAATTGAGGTTATTTCCACCTTTACTGCTTCAATATCTTCCTTTGTAGACAACGTTTTTAGCTTTTCGTCTAAATTTGCATTAATTGTGCTGCTTATAAGGTGTATAAGTTCCATTTGTGAGAGTGCAACCGGCGATGTTCCAGTACCTGGTGATAATTCATTTCTGTTTCGTTTCGATGACTGGGCACTAATTGTTTGCTGGGTAGCAATGGCCTTTGGTGGAGGTGAACGTTGCATATTTAATAATTGAAACTATAAGAAATGTAACGGAAAATTCGTTGTGGTTGGCAGGCTAACTATTAAATAGATTAGATTGAACAATTTTACACAAGGTACTCAGTTTATTATCAAATTGTACTCAAAAATAGACCATGGTTTGAGCAAAGTTTCATTAGAATTTTCTGTCACTACAAATATTTATTTGTCCAAAAAATAAAAAGGAATTTAAAAATAAGTAGATATATATTTTTCTATTCTGACAAACTAAAGCAATGATAGAAAATTGCTTGACAAGCTAACCACAGAAAATTTAATCTTATCAAAAATGTATCAAAATAACAAATTTGCAACCTCATCACTGAAAATCTAGCCAGAATGTAAAAAAAATATTCGATACCAAATTCCCTGCAACGAATAAATGAGACATTATTAAATGTGAAATTCAAACAATGTCCGTACGAATTCTTCGTAAGAGGAAGAGGAGGAAAATAGATACTCTAAAAGGTAAGAAAAGTAAGCAAATTCACTTCCTTACTATGGGTTTAAAATATCCCCACATTTACAATCAAGAACGTGAAAAAAATCAGACAATTAATTTTTGCGCGGCATGAAAAGTTGAAAATGGGTTTATGATTTGGTTAAAACATACATACCCACACAAATGTCCCTATGGTCATATCATCGAAGAGAAGTGACACCGAGCAAAGTGTATCAATCATTCAGAACAAAAATAATAATAAAACTGGAAAAGTAAATCCGACTTCGGGGATCCTAAAACATTACCAAAGTGGATGTTGCAAACTAATAAAACTAAAGAGCACGCTTTTGTGTCCATGCAGGGGCATCTTTAGAGACATGTTTAATTGAAATAATAATCGCCACAGACCTCGCTATAGGAAATGTCTTTTATATATAACGTGTCTTCTGCCGCTATATTTTGGAGCAATTGTTACAAATTTTACGATAATCTTAAACTACGAAAGCGGTAATTTGCTAGATTGACTCCAGTTGAAAGACAACATTTTAAACTAAAGTGACCATTTTGCTTTAGAGGAACGTTAAAAGGTTACAACTAATATGCATTTAATATTTTTAAAAATAAGCTTTGAAAACTAAAACTATGGGCCAGCAACGTTAATCGGGTCAACTAGGGATAAATAAAAGAACGTCGTACAAATAATTTATAAAAATGTTCAAGGGGTAGAAAATAGACAGTAAAAACGCGACATAACACGAATGCAAAGTTTTCATGGAATCCGGTGACAAACAATCAATAAAACGATTTTCTTAAAAAAATTGCCCACCCGGATGGATTGATGGTAACATCAAAGTAAGAATCGTTGGGAATTTTCGTCTTTTCAATGGTCTCTGTAGAAAATTGCCCAAAAACTTATTTTCTTCAAACCATTTGTTCTTGAATTTCCTTAAATCGATCGCACTTACCCATGAATGGCAACGCCACACAGATCCAACGCCGCCAATTGACCGCAACCATGATGATGAAGCTTGAAGTAGTTTATGGTTGCTGCTGCTACTACAATTTGATTTTTGATGTTGTTGGTCACTAAGTGCAGTCCAGTTACTGTTAGATCAGCTATGCGTTTATCGCTTTTAACCACAAAAATAGTGAATTATTCATTTGTTGTTGTTGTATTTTTTAGTTTGTTTTCGTGTGTTTATTAATTCCTTGTTTTGTTACCTATTTTTAAAACATTTTGAGGTTTTATTTTTAATTGTATCTTAACACATTTTTGCATACATACATACAAGCCATGGTAGTGTAACGGGTGGTAGAATAATTGTACCTTCTAAATTCAATTTTTGTATAAATGTGTGTATATAGGTTTGAAAAATACAGACAATTTGTCAGTTCTAAGACAATCAGATTTCGACGTTAAAGTTCAATATATTTTTCAATTTTTGGATAAAAAAATTGGTCTCAATTATAAATAATTGCAATATTAATTTTTTTTTTAACTTTTATGGGAGAGGTTCCAGAAGGATTGGACCGACACAAATTATAATGAAAGTAAAAGGTGATCGACACTTTGATATTTTTAGTGCCAACCTTGGTTTCCAAAATACTCCAGACACAATTGTCCAACGGTATCCGGAGATTTTGGTGGGCATTGTACGTTGGAGGAAGCGAGGAACCTCATTTTGTAACCATTCTTGGGTGGCGCATGCTGAGTGCGATGGTGCTGAGTCCTGTTGGAATGTCCAAGGTCTGCGGCCAAAATGTTTGCGTGCCCAAGACTTAAACACATCCTCCAGAATATTTTCGCTATAATATTCTGTATTTATTCTGATGCCACGGTAGATTAATACGAGCGGAGAGTGACCATCGGCTGTTATGGCGGCCCACACCATCACCATGGCCGGCGCTTGAGTTCTGGTGGCCAACCGAAAGTGCTCATTTTATTGCTGGACAACGAATGTTATCTCATCGGAAAAAACCCAATTCGGTAGTTCACGAATTTCGGCCGAGCGAAGCAACTCTTTAGCTCTTTTGAGTCTATTTTTATCTGTTGCGGTGTAAGTTCTTGCACTTTTTAGAATTTTAATGGCTTTAAACCGAGCTCATTTTTTAAAATTTGCCGAATGGAATATTGCGATATGTTCTGCCCACGAGGCATTTTTGGCCACTGCGGCGCGGGTAACGAGCGATGGTACGAGACACAAATGATTTATCCAAATTTAAATGCTGGAGGGCCTTAACGATAGCCACTTGTGATTTTCCAGCAGGTTTCTCATCTCAACCTGTATTTCACCGATTAAGTCTAGTGTGAACATGCGACTTATGGGCATAACTTGTGGTACCTTTTTCACAACATTTTGATTAATTATAATTCTCTTCTTTATATATCTACCAACCATATGTATATACAATGTAAATATGTGATATATCTGACTAATCCTTCGGTATCTCCTCTATAAATGGTCATCACTTTGAATAATGTTAACGGAAGTCAGAGTATACATCTGACGACAAAACCGACAAATATGTTCCCAACTTATTGATAAGGAGATTTAATATCGAACAAACAAACAAGCAAAAGTCCAGTTAGCTTCAAAATGTTGCCATTTTGGTAGGAAATGGTGAAAATCTCTAGAGTCGACTAACATGAAATTAAGTTTTTATAGATTTTTAAAAAATGTTATTACGAAACAACCATCTTTTAATAGAAACTAGGAAAATAATCAAAAATAGTCACACAATTAAAGAAATAAAATTTGGGCTTTAACCTGGAATTCATCAACAGTTAAATGGAGGAAAGCTCAACATCCTAAAAATATCAATCTGAAACACTGTGCGACGTAGATCGACAGGGGACTGATATCGATGGATCGACTCCAAATTTCCTGATATGGATTTTGTACAAAGACACATAGGGTGTATAATCAAATTCACTTTTGCAGATTTTGAACATGAGCTTTTAGGACTCGTCTCATTACCAAGTAATGAGTGAGCTCGAGACTTGGTATCCGCAAAGTAAACAAGCATAAAGGTGTTACTTCGATCGTCTACAATGTGCTTTAAAAATTAAAAAAAATTGGAAATGATATCGGTTGGTAAAAAGTCTGATAATCTGCGAAAAAGTCACCAAAAATCAAATATTCGGATGTACCGTCTTATGAGAGCCTATAGCAGCAGTCTTCTGCCACATAAGACATAACCCATTACAAAGTACACATACCGAGTTTTAAACGATTCCCATAAAAATGTTGTGCAAATCATCAGAATACCGAATATCGGGAATATGGGGAAAATGTGATTTAAATCGCACCGAATATCGGATTGTATATGGGGTATATGGGGCTATAAGAAAACCTGGACCTATATAGACAATTTGGGATCAAGTGGAACCTTTCACAAATTCTAACAACGGATTCTTAAACAAATTCGTCTAAATTCCGAATATGCGAAAATACTGTTAAATGGTCGCTATAAGAAAATGTAGACTTATATAGAAAATGCTCCGCTACTGTTACAAAGTTATATACCGAATATAAATCGATTATGTGATATAAATCGCCAAAATGCCGAATATCTGAAAGTATCGTTATTTCGGTCTACAGGAAACTGTAAACCTATACGGATAATTTTTTCCACCAGAGGTTGAACCCATGAATCTATGGATCGAATCTTAAACAATTTCTGTTTGTGTTCAATTCCGAAAATACCGAATATCGGAAGGGACAGATATATGGGGGCTATACGAAAACGTTGACCCACGTGGCCCATTTACGAACCACTAACAAAATACACAATACAAGTTAATATACCCTCCATAGTATGGTGGAGGGTAAAAAAAAATTATAATATTAAACATCACTGCCCCGCATGAAATGAATTGAGGGATCTTAAGATGTATTTTAACGTAATCCTTCATTTCAAAAAACTTAAGAGTCAATAAGCAATCGCAATTAATGTTGACAGATACATGCTCAATGTACAAAGTTTCCCCACGCGTAATTATAGATCATCCCTTTTCAATAATGATATTGGTATTGAAATTGAATTACTCACTTTTTTCAATTTTATTTTATTTTTTATTATTTTATTTGAAGTATAAAACTGTAATTTTTTATCTCAATCTTATTTTAATGAATACATTTCTGGTTTTAGAAAGTGAATGGTGGTTACATCCCGCATTTAACACTGCATCCATGTTTTCGGTTTTCAAACATTTTTTATAGTATTAGACTGAGTCCATTAAATGACTTCAATTTTGCTCTGTTTCAAACTAAACCTGTTTTGTTTGTTTGTTTCTTGTGGCCTGAATAGAACGCTTTATTGTTTTATGGGCTAATGGTTGGCTATTTAACGCTAAAATGAATTGTATCTGGCATCGAAATCAACACTTTTGCGGATTAGTTTGGAAATGTAAAGTTTCAATAAATCATTTTTGTTAAACTTAATAAAAGAAATGAAATAAAAAATTACTTTTCCAAGGCGAGTCATTGAAAAACTTGGAAATAAAAATCCTATTCATTCTAAATACACTCTGAATTTTGAATCTTTCGCCATCGATATGGATTGGTTATTGGGACTTAGCTCTTTAGTCCATAACGTAGAAAAACGTGATGGTTTCGAAGGAATTTTAGAAGTAGCTCATTATTTTCCTTTTACTGCCTATACAGAACGTGGATTGTCTATATTACTTTATCTTTTTTTATATTTATATAGGACATTTGTACAGTTTTTCTGTTGCAGACCTGTTATTTTAAAACAAGAAACAGAAAAACTAGAAAGTATCAGTCGATATGCCATATCCGTCTAGCGAAAGGTCAAAAAAGGTTTTTTTAATTCTAAATATTAATTTTTTTAATGGGAGAAGAACAGATACGGTCCATGTTTGTGTTTAAATCCATCCGGATACATTCCTCGACTATACATTTCTATACTATAAGTATTCGCTGACATAGTCCATTTTGAAACATGATTATAAATAATCCGACGTGTTATATTTAGGCCCTCTCTTTGGGCGATATTTGTGTTCGAGTTTTGTTTGTGGAAGAAGCAATATAAATTGTTATATTTTCTTTAAATTTGCAAAAAATATATATTATAATTTTCCAAGATAAAACAACAAGGTTAGTCCCTTCGTCTCACATGCATTTCAGATTTTTTTACAATTTTGACCGTATGTTAGGGAAGTAACAATAGGAATTAACCTATATATTCAATTGTCGCACCTTATTTAGTATAGGTGGAAATATTTGGGTAAAATCGAATACTAATATCACATTTGATGATGTCTCCTATGCGGGGTGGTACAACCTGGTATGAACCGAAAATTTCTCTTTCTCATCTCATACAAATATATCTATTACGATAGACTTCGTATGGGATTAGAATTTTTAAAAATTTCGCACTTATGTAAAAACGTTGGTCAATATTGAGATGTTTTCGCAGGCGATCCAATATCATCTGTCGAAATTTTGTTTACCAAGTTTACAAAGGTATCTCGCAGGAGATACTTAAAATTAGGAGCTACGTCAAATGTGGACCTTGAATAACATTTCTGAGTGAAAAAGCAAAAATGTCTACAACCAATCCGTTTGGACTGAAAACGAAGAAGCACTACTTAGAGATAGATGTGAATCGGATGTGTAATTTTAATTTAACTTAAGTGAAATTGGGAAATTACAGAGTTAGAAGTATTACTAACAACAAAATTATCCGGCTCCGCAAATCTGGTCATTTCATTAGTATATGTTTGAAAAAACTTAACATGAAATAATATACGTTGAACATGTAGACATGAAATTAAAAGAGTTACAATTAGGGTAAATGTAATTATTTAATTGGCCTAATGCAATTGAAATCAAATTGTTGGTGAATCATATTGGGGCAGTTTGACTTTATTTTAAAACTAAGTCAATCTGCTCTAGCATGATTCACCAGCTACCAGGCATGCTCTAAATAAATTTTAGAATAGTGTGTTTTGATTTACATATTCGTTTAGTCACTTCTCTTTGAAACCTGTTATTTCGATAAAAATTCTAATAATTCATAGCATTGAAATAATACAACATTGTCTATTTTTGTGAAATATATTTTTTCAAGTCTTTTTTATGATGCTTTGTTAGTTCCGCATTATTTTTTGGGATAATAAAATTAAATAAGCATCGATTGATTGGACGTACATGTTAAGTATCAGCATTTTAATAGTCGAAGACAAATCGAAATAAGATAAACGGCTTGTCAATCAAGTTTTAGACGGAGTCTAAGGTGCGAAGTAGAGCAAAAAAAAAACATAAATCTGGACTCCAATTCCTAATATGTTTCATATGTTCAAATCCTCAGCTATGTGCTGCTTACTGAGGATATACAAGATGAGATAAAAAACTTCAACAAAGACAAAAGCCATTATTTTTACACTCTTTTAAGTTTACATTTTTTTTAATTGAAAGCAAAAAATGTCGGAAATAGCATCAAATTTTAGATTAAGTTTAGATTTATTCGAATTGGTCACCTTTGGCACGAATTATGGCCTTCAAACGGCCACTGAAACCGTCACACGCTGCCCGTTTCCCGGAGAAACGCTTGCTTGAGGTGATCAACACTTTGATATTTTTTTAGTGCTGCCAACCTTGCTTTCCAAAATACTCCAGTCACAATAGTCCAACGGATTGGTATCCGGAGATTTTGGTGGACATTGTGCCCTGGAAATGAAGCGAGGAGCCTAATTTTGACCATTCTTGGGTGAGGCGTGCTGAGTGCGATGGTGCTGAGTCCTGTTGGAAGGTCCAAGGTCTGCGGCCAAAATGTTTGCGTGCCCAAGGCTTTAATACACCCTCCAGAATATTTTCGTGATAATATTCGTCATTTATTCTGATGCCACGGTCGATTAATACGAGCGGAGAGTCACCATCGGCTGTTATTTCGTCCCACACCATCATCATGACCGGCGCTTGAGTTCTGCTGGCCAACCGAAGATGCACATTTTCAGCTGACCTCTTTGGCAAGTAAACACGATCAAACTTCTGGACAACGAATGTTTTCTCATCGGAGAAAACCAAATTCGGCAGTTCACCACTTTCGGCCAAGCGAAGCAACTTTTTAGCTCTTTTGAGTCCATTTTCTTTCTGTTGCGGTGTAAGTTCTTGCACTTTTTGGAATTTCAATGGCTTTACCCCGAGCTCATTTTTCAATGTTTGCCGAATGGAATATGGCGATATGTTCAGTTCACCAGCCGTTTTTCGGCCACTGCGACGCGGATTTCGATTAAGTCGCTTCTTTACTTTTCGAACCATTTCTGCTGATGTTGCTGTTTTCTTTCGTCCATCTCCTTGACGTCGGGTTACGCTATCAGTATCAAAAGATTAATTCACACCTAAATGTTAAGTGCTCCAACGATAGCCACTTGTGGTTTTCCAGTCAAATATAAATAATAACACGAATAACTCTTTTAAAATATATATCGGCCAACTGCTTCTTCAAAAGTTTAAAATTTTGAACTCTAAAAACTTTTGATTTCCAATCTTGGTCTGATTTTTATTAATCCTAGCACATCTCACAATCCAACCCATCTTAGCACAACTTATGTTACAACAAGCGTAAAAATGGAAAATATCGGTTCACTTTTCTCTAGCATTTCCCTCAGAAGAAAAATTGACGGAAAACTATTACATATTTTGCATATTATCTAACGGAAGTACCTGATAAAGTCCAAAAGTATCGCACGAGAATGGACAATATTCAACTACAATATGTCAACATTTGGAATAATACTAACCCTCTTAACGCGGAAAATCAACATCCGATTTTCTTTAAATTTACCCGTCCCAATATAGGGGAAGGAGAATCCAATATTTTTTGTCACCTCCCGCAAAAAAGTCCAATAATATCATTAGTTGTATAACGAGGAAGAGTACCACTGTTTTGGTCGATTGGTTTCAGTATCAGAATTTGTTATTCAATTTCTTTAATTTGGTGAAGAACTCACAATATCTATAGAATATTGAATTTAAGATATCAGCAAAATAGAAAAATTAGAAAAAAAAATCCCCATCAACTGATTTGAAAGACTTTAATTTTTTTTCTTTGTAAAACAATCAACACACCTATACAAACTGTGTATATATTTTGCGAATAGGTGCAGCGAAAGATAAAATGTGTATTTAAGGAGTAGCTGTATTCTACCTCCTGTCATTGTTATTATGCTTGTATGTATGTATGTACGATTTTTTCTATTTGTATTTATTGCATTAACATGCCACATACTTAAACAGTTGATAACACATCCATCCGTTTTTTTTACATTTCCGGCATTTCAAATCAAATTAAAAAGCCATCTAATTTTTTTATGAAGAAAAAAAATCAAATATTTTGGATGACAGTGTCTCATGTCATTAAAAGCGGAATAATAGCTTTATTTATATTTTATTTTCTTTGTCACAATTCGCAACTTTGTTACGAACACAAATGCACAAACACACACAATCCAAACAAAACACAAGATTTTCACTTTTTATTTGTTCGCATTTTTTTTTCTTTCATCCGATTGTGTTCTGCTTGCCATTGGCAACGACCCAAACCATACCACGATCGAAAACGGACTGTTTTGTAAACAAAAGTGGTAAATACGACTGGGCCATATTCAACACGGCTTGTACGGTGGCTTAGAAAAAGTGAAGGTGATACCAAACTTGCAACTTAAGAGCAGCAATGAAAAGAGTTAAAAGAAAATGAGAGTGAAATAAGAGACAATGCTTATTTTGACTAGAGATAACGAGACATTTACAAAATAGAAATATATGCTAAGAGGGAATTGTTTTTTCATTAAAAAATGTTGAAAACATGTGGTTGATTTAAATGAAAACAAAAGTTTTCAAAATATATTTTTAACAACTGAAAATTCATGTCCGATTGTCCATATTTTCGATGATTTTGCTACATAATAGAGATCCGATGAAATGTGTTTGCTTCATTGTCTGCTTTTTTACGTTTATGTGATTCTTTATATCCCTAACAAGGGGTCAAACGAAGTCAATACGCATAGTAGGGATGGTGAATTAATGATCTTCACTCTCTAGCTACAGATATGTCACTCCCACAACGCGACCGAGTCAAGTTTATGTTGCACTTAGTTTTCCATTAGACCGCCTTATATCTTTGAGTTTTCTTGGCATGTAAATCTTATTTTTATACCCTCCACCATACTATGAAAGGTATATTAAGTTTGTCATTCCGTTTGCAACACCTCGAAATATACATTTTAGACTCTAAAAAGTATATATATATTTGAATAGCATAAAATTCTATTCGATTTAGCGATGTCCGTCCGTCGGTCCGTCTGTGGAAATCACTCTAGCTTTCGAACGAAATGAAGTAGGTTGATAGAATTTTACTCAAATGTGTTTATGTCTGCAGAACTTTTGGTATTAAAAATGGGCCATGTAGGTCCACGTTTTGGTATAGCCCCCATATAACGGTACCTCCCGATATTCGGTATTTTGATGATTTTAGCGACATTATTCACCGGAATTGTTTCAAATTTGGTATTTGTAGTTCGAAATGGATACTACAGCCTAATACAGAAAATTGTCGGTGCAGGTCGACGTATTCGTATAGCCCCCTTATAAAGGTACCTCCCGACATTCGGTATTGTGATGATTTTAGCTATTATTCACCGACTTTTTTATTCAAGTTTAGCATTTAAATATTGTAATGGTTTATGACAAAAGTTGCCTATGCAGGTCCACGTCGTCGTATAGACCCTAATATAACGGCTACATTCAGTTCAGCCCGGCCGAACTTGCCGTTTTTTAATTCATATTTTCATATATCATTCATTTTTTTTTTTTTTTTTTTGAAATACCCACTAGAATAGTAGACAAGAGTGAAGAATGAATATACCGAAGAGTTTTTAGGAAAATCAAACTTTAAATATGCAGAAATTAATTAAAGCTACCAAAGTTATTATTTAACGGAAATTCTATATCGGAATTAATGTTAAACATGGAGGTATACCAATCGAAGCAAATGGTGCTTAATTTGGCCCAAATGTTTTTGGGCAATAGGATGGTGGGAAGGTGGAATGTTGAAATTTAGAATAGGTGTCATTTAAAATGGGTGCGGTTGTTCTTCTGGAAATGCGTACAGTTAGGGTACAAAAAGTACCTAATGGTACTAAATATCGTATAAAGTGTAGGAAAATAGCTGGAATTGTGCATTTTGGTATTAGGATCACTCAGATAAGGAGGTGAATTTGGAAAAACGTACAAGATGGTACTAAATTTGGTATAAAGTGTAGAAGCAGGACTGGAATTATAAATTTTGATATAAGGCTTTTAATACTTCCAAATTTCGCTAACGACGTTTTTAACACATAGCGTTTGAGCTGAGAAGCCAAAACCCTCTTTGTGGTGTTAGTCCACAGACTAAATGTAATTTTAAGACAATTTGCTAATGTGCTAAATTTGCCAAGAATAAAACTAAATTTTTGTATATACCACTTATCTATCTATATATATAAAAATCAATTGTTGTTTGTTGGTAACGGAATCAGTTGAAAACGGCTGGACCGATTTGCATGATTTTTTGTACAAATGTTCGTCATACCCCGAGTTAGGTTTTTAAAGAAAAAAATATTGACCACGCCTCCTTTTACGCCCACTATTACGATTTATCTAAAATCTTTATATTTGCCAAAATAGTGAAGATATCGGTTTGAGAATTATTACACGAGATGCTGTTGGCTTTCCATCCAACCCTAAGTACTTATTTAGGGGCTGAGAAACGCGCCTACTTTTATCTATCTATCTTTCTATATCTTTAATCTATCTTTCTATATGTAAAAGAAAGTTGTGTTAGTTACTACTCTTATAACATAAAGACCGCTGGTCTGATTTTAGCGATTTAGACAAATTCGGAATTGCCTCTTGGCAGAAAAGAATAAAATCCAAAAAAAAAAACGCGTAAAAATATGAAATTTGAACATTTTCATTTTGACTTTTAAAATGTACAATAGTAATGTTTTATATTGCATATTTTTTTCCATTTTCACTTACTATTTTCGACTGTACATTTGTAGTGTTTTTTTTTTTTTTTTTTTAATTCTAATATGATGTGTAGGTTTTTTGGGTAATATAAAGCCACAACGGATAAAACTGTTATTTATGGATATTATGTATTTATTCGTATTACCAAATAAATACATAAAATCTATAAATAACAGTTTTATCCGTTGTCGCTTTATATGAAAATTCTAAAATCGGGAAAAATCGACAATTTTTCAATGGAATCGAATTTCAAAATAATAGTACATTCTACCGACAAACTTCGTAATCACCTTTAAAAATTTGCCGCAAAAAAATCAGCGAACCAGTTGAAGATTCTTTTTCTTTTTTATATATTGAGATGTAATTTTTTTATTGGTTTGAATTCTGAATGAATAATATTAAAAATGAAATGAGGGCGCAATACGATGTTAAATGCTTTCTACTCCAGAACCTACATCGTGCTTCAGCTGGAAAATGCGAACACATTTAAACAAACAAAAATGACCGAAGAAGCGTTATGGGGTTAATTTCAAAAGGTGGACCTGCTTCTTTCATATGACAATAAATTGTCAAATGAGAACACAAAATGCAAAATACATTGGGACTGCAATCAGTCAAATACCGACTATAAAGAACGCAAAATAGAAATTCTACCTAAACATTCAAAATACCTTTAATCGTTTTGGCAGGTCATGATATGGATCATAACCCCTGATAACGGAACAACCGGTTTCAAGTATATTCTACATTTTAACCATATTTTTCGTACTAATTTTAGCTTATGTTGATAATTTAAGAAGAAACCATCTTTGCAAAAAATTATCACGTTTTGGTATCACCATCATATGATTTGAGGTATTTTCGGGGTCTTGGCCATTTTTTTTTTTTCATTTTTTGGCCCTTATTTGACATCTTTGTTTCTAAGGGGGAAGAAAACCTCTTCTTATAAATTTTTATTTTTCGGAAAAGTGCGCATCTTAGTCTTGAGGCTACCTGGGGTAATAAACCCTGGGGTAGAAAAACATCTTACAGATAATTATCCTCATAGGATTTTATTTAAGTATAGTCCCCACATTAGTATACCGCCAAGTCCACTCTCCCAACCAATGTGTGGTCAGAAAAGAAAATTTGGTACTCTACTGAATTTGTAACCTCCAAGAGAATATTGGTTGGGAACGTAGATTTGGGATGTACGTCTATATGAAATAAACTCCGAAATGTCAATCTGGGACTCATTCAGTCGGAAATTGTGGCAGAAATATTAAAAAAAATACGATATTATAAAGTAACTTTATTGGATCTCCATCGCACAATTTAAATGACAAACAATTAATGCCCATCTTACGGTAATCGGAGCAAAAGAGTAATTTTTTTGGCTATTCTGACAACATTCTGGCTTCAAGTATGAGGTGGACAAAACTGAATACCACGCAGTACGGTATTTTAAACGTTGGAAATACAAATTTCAAATTATAGCTCATTTGAATGCTTTTTACAATATCAAAAATTGAGCTGAATTCTCACATGGGGCTATTATAGATGTTCTTTATCATATAGGTATTTAACACTCAAATTAAAGCCTATAGCTGAAAAATAAGATCAGGCTATTCAAAATATTTAAAACCGACGGTAATTATAATTTTTGCCATGAATATTAATTTATATTTAGTCATGGAGTCATTACTTATAATCAAAATTGGAGTAATTATAATGTCGTCATTACTTATAATCAAAATTGTGCCGCCCACATAAGTCAGATCTGTGATTTATTATGCTTTAAAGACTAAAAGTACGGGCCGGCAACGCGGACCGGGCCAGCTAGTTATATATAATTTTACATTACATTTCTTCATTTGACATTTTCCCCAAAAAATAGTACTAAAGAAGATTTTGAGATTGAAAACGTCTAAAACATATAATTATAGTTACATTTTATGTAGACTATTACCAATTTTGGTTTTTTCTGTATCAACGAGGTTTTATGTTACTTTTATGAATCAATTCAAAAAAGTTCAACAAAGAAAACCCTGAAAAAATAGAAGATATTTTCTCTTTTTTTTGCAAAATTGGTACACATATTTTCCTGACATTTAATCAAAATTAAAGTTATATTTACTATGGTGTCTTATTAGGTATAGGGGTTGGTTAAAAGAGAAACGGGTTGGCTAAAAGAGAAACATTTAAAAAGGCCAAACAGACTTCTTTCGTTTCTCGTTGGATGGTTAAAATCTTTGAATAAAATATTCCTCGTCCTAAAACAACATGTGCGATTCAGGGATTTTGAACAAGAGGTAGAAATTTGATGTACCCAGAATTTTAGTATCTGATCAATATATGACCAATATATTGATCAACATCTCATGGAAACTATTAAATTTAGTACCAAAATTATACAAATCTTGCAGTCGCAGTTCACGAAACAAAAGCATTTTCGTCACGAAGCACCTTATTGAGCCGTCGTAGTCACGTCAACTAGCCAAGTTACCGCATTGAGGCTCAAAAAGCCGAAGAATTATTGCTGAGAAGCCTATTCATTCTC